TTTCTTTTTTGTTTTTGTTTTTTTATTCTTATTTTAATCTTGTTTTTGAGGGGGTAGGTGTGGGGGTATGCGTGGTATGGAGGGAATGGGGGAGCGGATGGTTTGGTATGGGTTGGTATGGTTTGAGTGGTCGAGATGGCATTCAGGTGAAGTTATATGTTGGTGCGAGCGGGTACGCGCTTGGTGTGTTTTGTTTGTTTGTTTGTTTTATGCTGGTGTTGGCAGAAGCGGTTGATAATAGTTTTTTGTGCGATATTTGATGGTGAGTGATTTAATGGTATTTTGAGAGAACTTGGCTTGGTTGAGGTCATTCGATCGTTAGGTGACGTCAAGGTGAATTTTAGTGGGGTCAAGGTCGTGTTGTGGTGGGGTTTCGTGGGGTGTGGATCGGTGGGCGTAAGGTCAGGGATGAACGAAGCTTCATGACCTTATTGAGATACCGAATGGGCACTGACAAGGTGGCTTTTTGGTGGGCGTCACTGACTGTTGGGTGGGGGTGGGGGGTGGGGGGATATGGACTATGGAATTTTGATGGTTTTAAACTGAGAAAATCATTGAAAAAAAAAAAAAAAACAGGATAACAGGCGCTATGCATGGCAGGGAAAAAGATAGGCAGGTGGGGGGGGGGGGCATGGGGGATACGGACAAAATTTTGATGGTTTTAAACTGAGAAAATCACTAACATAAAAAAAAAAAAAAAAAAAAAAAAAAAACAGGAAATGACAGGCACTGTGCATGACAGGGAAAAATATGGGCAGGTAGGTGGGGCCATAGGGGGATACGGACAATGATATTTTCATGGATTTAAACGGAGAAAATCGTTGAACACGAAAAAAAAACAGGAAATGACGGTCGCTATACATGAAATTGGGGGAAAATAAACAGATAGGCTCATGAACTCAATGTAGACGTAGGTAATATGCACAAAGTCATGCCAAAAGCGGAACAGTGTCTGACAAAAGCATGTCGATGTGCGTCTAATGACATTACAGTGTAAAAGGGATAGCGAAATGTATTTACACACTGCAGGACAACAAGTGAACGTCTATAACATAACGGTTGAGTGTATTTTTCCATCTTTTAAATTCAGAATTGCATGGTTAAATATGAAAGTAGTGAGGGGTGTATTGTGTAAAGTATATATTGGAGAGGTTACACTGAATTCTACATTTCAAGATTAATCAAGCATTAATATCCTTTTTTTACATGGAACAATGATAAAATATATAACATAAAACATTACCATATACACGTATCTAAAACATTACACACACTATTACAACATCCTTATCTTAACAGTAACAAAAAGCAAAAGTGTAAGCATTTTGTATATGATTCTGTGTGAAATGCACAATGCGAATAATGAAAAAAGTCATACAGACAGAGATATATTTCGACATGTACCGAAAGAATACGAAACCCACAAAACCATTTCAAAAGACGAAAAGCGACAACCAAAAAAAAGTATATGAATAAATAATTAATAAATGAATAAAAAAAAAAATCAATACGACAGACGAAAAACGGTAATCAATCGAGCTTTAAAAATATACGTTCGATGTTAGTTTATCTCACTGCAATAGGAGTTCCATTTCGCTATCATAATATCCTCTTAATTTCAAGGAAACACGAACGCATACCTATAAACAGGGGGAGGGGGATACAGTGGTGGAGGGGGGAGGAGGATGGAAGTGGGGAAGAGGAGGGAGGGAGAGGAGGGAGGGAGGGAGGGAGGGAGGGGGGGAGGAGGGAGGGAGGGGAGGAGGGGAGGAGGGAGGGAGGGAGGAGGAGGGAGGGAGGAGAGGAGGGAGGAGGAGAGGGAGAGGGAGAGAGAGGAGAGAGAGAAGAGAGAGGAGAGAGAGAGAGAGAGAGAGAGAGAGAGAGAGAAGAGAGAGAGAGAGAGAGAGAGAGAGAGAGAGAGAGAGAGAGAGAGAGAGAGAGAAGAGAGAGAGAGAGATAAAGAGAGAGAGAGAGAGAGAGAGAGAGAGAGAGAGAGAGAGAGAGAGAGAGAGAGAGAGAGAGAGAGAGAGAGAGAGAGAGAGAGAGAGAGAGAGAGAGAGAGAGGGAGAGGAGAGGAAGAGGGAGAGAGTGGGGGTCGGGGATACGGTAACAGAAGTAGAGAAAACAGCGGAGAAGAAATGAGGGAGGGGATGAAGGGAAGGACGGATGGGAAGAAAAAGGATAAAAAAGACAGAAGCAGAGTAGAAACGAAGGGTGGAAGAGACAAAGGTAAAGCAGGGATAAAGAAGTGGGGAAAAAGAGGGATAAAGAGAGATAATGGACATGGGGCGGGGGAGGCATGGGAATAAATCACACTATTTCTTTTATTCGTCGCAAATAGATCTCAAAGCCATCTGTGAGGCTCCGGAATTCCTGGTCGGAATATTCGCGCCATTTTTGGACACAAGGTATTGACGTCACGCGCTTCGCGATTCTTCTTTTTTCATTAACTCTTTTGTTTACTTATTGTTATTGTTTGTATTTTTTTCATTTTTTTTATTTTCTTTTCATTATCAGTGTTATTACAATTCGTTTTCGTTCTTATTAATTATAAACAAAATGTTTTTTTTTCTACACTTGAAAAAAAGTCGCGAAAGTTGACAATGAGGAGGAGGAGGAGGAGGAGGGTGAGGAGGAGGAGGAGGAGGTGGGTGAGGAGGAGGAGGAGGAGTGGGTGAGGAGGAGGAGAGGAGGTGGGTGAGGAGGAGGAGGAGGAGGAGGAGGAGAGGTGGGTGAGGAGGAGGAGGAGGAGGAGGAGGAGGAGGAGAGGAGGAGGAGAGGAGGAGGGGAGGAGGAGGAGGAGGAGGAGGAGGGAGAGGAGGAGGAGAGGAGGAGGAGGAGGAGGAGGAGAGAGGAGAGGAGAAGAAGAAGAAGAAAGAAGAAGAAGAAGAAGAAGAAGAGAAGAAGAAGAAGAAGAAGAAGAAGAAGAAGAAGAAGAAGAAGAAGAAGAAGAAGAGAAGAAGGAAGAAAGAAGAAGAAGAAGAAGAAGTGGAGAAGAGGGGAGTGGGAGAGGAAGGGGGGAGGTGGAAGAGGAGGAGGAGGGGGGAGGGAAGAAGGAGGAGGAGGAGGAAGTGGAGGAGGGGGAGAAGGAGGAGGAAGAGGGGGAGAAGGAGGAGGAGGAGGAGGAGGAGGAGGAGGGAGGAGGAGGAGGAGGAGGAGGAGGAGGAGGAGGAGGAGGAGGAGGAGGAGGAGGAGTAGGAGTAGGAAGGAAGGAGGAGGAGGAGATGAAGAAGAAGAAGAAGAAGGAGGAGGAGCAAATGAATGAAGAGGAAATAAGTAATAAAAACGACTAATAACTGAGTAAAAAGGCTTGAAGGCAAAACAAGTATTCTCTCTCCCCGCAGCTTTAACTTACACGAGCATCCTATTATAAAAAAGAAAAAAATCCCATGAGAGTGAAAGACAGCAATATGTTTGATCCATCTACCGACTGTAATAAAGTTAGCGGTGCAAGGAAAGCGGCCTAAATGTGCCTTATGAACTTGCAACCGAAAGCTTAATTTGCTCTGGCGGCTTCCATTCGTTGTCATGGCAACCGACCTTCGGGCATCATTAGTGATCGTAATTCGCCATTTGCGCTGAGTATCACGACTCTCTCTCATTTCCTCTATTCTCTATTCTTTCTTTTGTTTCCTCTATTCTCTATTGTCTCTCTCGTTTCCTCTATTCTCTCTCGTTTACTCTATTCTCTATACTCTTTCTCTCACTCTCACTCTTCTCTCTCTCTCTCTCTCTCTCTCTCTCTCTCTCTCTCTCTCTCTCTCTCTCTCTCTCTCTCTCTCTCTCTCTCTCTCTCTCTCTCTCTCTCTCTCTCTCTCTCTCTCTCTCTCTCCTCTCTCTCTCTCCTCTTCTCCTCTCTCTCCTCTCTCCTCTCCCCCTCTCTCTTCTCTCTCTCTCCCTCTCCCCTCTCTCTCATTTCTCTCATTTCGCACGCTACAGTTATTCTCAATAGACCTAGGCACTGAAATGAAACACGGCAGCCTTCTATAAATAGTAATCGACTGAGAAGGACATATTGCTGATAATGCGAAAGAAATTTCTCTCGTCGAAATAAACGACAAAATATTAATGGATCCAATCTGACTGTTGAGTTAGCAATAATTTCCTCCTAAATGAGCAGTGAACTGTCTCTTTAATACATTTAACTGCTTACATTTTTCTATTTTTGGCAATTAGAGTTAGAATCGGAAGCCTGTTTATTTTGGCGCTATCGTTATTGGGTTTCGTAAGAAGCGAAGCGGGTTTTGACGACAACGAACATTACCTGCATTTTACCTGTTCTCGTTATCACAATTCGTTATATCACTGCCGTTCCTGTACGAGATGGAAAATGCGTGAAATGAGTGTCTAGTTATTGACAAAATAACGTCTGACGAAGGTGGTGAAACCGAGGAACGAAGAACCTGCACCTGAAATACACGAAGGGCTTTGTGTTATCCCCCTCCCTCCCCCCTTCCCCTCCCTCCTCTTACCTTGGTGGAGTCGACGCCCTCGACCAGCGCCCGTGTCCTCTCGCTAGCCCGGACTGTGGTCTTGAGGAGTCCGTTGACGTAGACGTGGTAGGACTCGATGGACCCCGGGGGCGCGTCGGGCGGGGGGTTCCAACCGATGAGGATGCTCTTGTTGAGCTGTCTCTCGAGGGTGAGCTGGACCGGCGGTGGGACTAGCACCGAGAAGAAGAGGTCTAGTTAAGAGAGAGGTGGTGTCACTACGCTAGCTCCATGCATGGCAAGCGGGGCAGGCAGAGAGCGGCAATTGGCAGCGTCAGCGGTAACAGCAGGAGCGGCAGCCGTAACGGTAGGAGCAAGTAGCAGCCGTTAAAGGAGCGGTTGGATGGATGGTTGGCTGGTTTAGAGAGTGAGCTGGTTCAAAAAGGGGGGCTTTCGGTTCGGTGTGGAAGTGGGTCTGTGAACGCTCTTCTTTTTTTCTCTCTCTATCTCCCTCTTTTAAAGTCTTTGGTCTAGGCGTGGCGCTTAGCTTTGGCATTCTACGGGTATGTG